CTTATCTCCTTGGAAGACTGTACTGCCTTTGAATATATATTTTATATATATATATATATATATATATACACACAACTTATTTTGTTTACCTTTCAGCATATGCTGCATTATTGCTCTCTATATTCCCAATATGATTATAACAGTATCTTGTGCATATTGAAGAATTCATTCTGAAATTTAGTTTCTAATTGAAAATACTTTTCAGATTTGGATGCATATTTACTACAAAACCGACTTTTCTGATTAAAGGCACAGGAAAATGTTCCTAGCTATTTATTTTTTACTAGAAGCTCTATCTGAGCTTTATCATGTTATACAATTACTACATAGATATTATGGAGGAGCTGTTACTCCAGAAACCTATAGGCAAAGCTGGGGCCTGTAGCTTGAGAAAAGACGGGTAGAGAAAGATGTAGAATGCCACATCTCCATGAAATGATGGTTTTAGAGTTGATGTGACCAGAGTTATCTTGATGATGTTGCAGGCTTAAATTATATTATTTTGCTGCTTCTTTTTCATTTATATATTTTCATCTATTGGCAATCTCTCCCCATCACATTTAGACAGATATATTCATTCTATAACCAAGTAAACAAAATTAAACTCGACTTTGATAGCTAGACTAACAGCCAGGTGGGTAGGTTGGGTTCAGGATCTCTTGTGTCCAGAGAYGGACGTCTTTTTCACATGCTGCTGTGGCATAGACCATTCCTTGGGTAGATTATTCTAATTCAGTTCACGTGCTTTCAAAGAATTGGGTTTTGTTTCACATACGAAAGAGTAATCCACTAATGAAATGCCGAAGCTCTAAACTGTGAAGATTATTTTCATGGAAACTAAGTTGTAGTTGAATTCTATTAATTTACTTACTAATTATTATTAATTATCATAGAAACTCATCCTTTTATTTTGTTGGTAGTAACATCAGCCAGATGATCACAACTTAAAACTCAATGTATACGTGTTCTTACCACTCCATTGTGCCTCTGGAAGAATAATCAGAGGAAAAAGAGCTGGAGTTGGGTTCATAAGTCCACTTGCCTGTGCTAAGTAAGGAAAATGCTAATTCCTCAAGAAGTTTAATGAAATGCGTATTTCTTAAAAATTCAATGAAATCAGGAAGAAGCATGGTTAACATTGTCCTTGGTTATTCCAGCTATTCCAGAGTACAGAATTAAAAAAAAAAAAAAAAAAAAAAAGGGGGGGGGGGACAAATAGGTGGCTGCATAACTTTAAATGAAATGTCTCAAATGTTTCTTCTGAATTTTATTTGACTTGAGTAATAATGTCACTCAAAAAAATTGACATTCCCTCTGAAGTGAGGCTGGAGCTCCACTTTGTTGAAGTGTCACGCCAAGAATATGTAAATTTGCAGTTTATGAAAAAAATGCCATTGTTAGTGGGACATTCTTAATGTAAATATTTCAAAATATCATCAAGAATGATAAGATCGTTGTACTGCTTGCAAGAGAATCTGTCATGGTCTGTCAGTGAGTAAGAATGGAGCACTTGCCTTCTAATGCTTACGTGTCAGCAAAGGATAATGGACATTAAGTGTTCTGAGTATCTGATATCTTTGAGTATCTTGTCTCTGCTTTCTCTGTGCAGCCTCCAATTTTTCATGTAACTTAGAGCTTTAGTCTCTCTCAGACTTTTACTTTTTGGACATATCTGCTTAGAATATGTCAATATATTCAGAAATTGTTAGGGAAGGTTGACAAGACAGATTAACAGATAATGCAGGCACCCTGATGGCTTCTTCCTAAGAAGGCAGGCTAAACAAGCTTAGAAAGAACCTTGTCAAAAACCCACCAGTATAATTTTTATGTCCTGAGGATATTTTCTTTGTCCAGCTGGTGATGAATTTGGTAATAAAAGCAACTGAACTACAGGATCATTCTAGTTCATGTAATTAATGTATAAAATTGACTGGTTGGATATACAGCTTTTAGTCTTTGATTTTGCAATATTATAAACCACTAGACTAGGAACTTTAGAGTTGTCCCAAGACAGTAGAGCGAATCCTTTAACTTATTCCAGAAAAATAARACAAACAAACAACAACAAAAACAGSTTATGGAAGAGGATCTCCTGTACCATAAATGAACCAGTGTTACTAATCGGAGTGTCAGTCATCATATCAAATCATGTCTTGGTGCCTAAATAGTAATTCAGTTTTTCGGGGCACATTTTAGCGGCAAAGAGTTACATAATTACCCATACTGTTGCCCATATTAACCATATTAAAAATTGAAGTATGAAATTTAAAACCCATAACTTGTTTTCTACTTCCATTAATAACTAGAGAGAATTTTTCAATAATTTTGTATTTTTCATACATCTACTATAAAAGAGCAAATCTTCAAATGTTTAAAATCTGAATTAACGTTTTCTTTAACTGGCATCATTAATTCAAAAATGTAAATGTAAAAAGTGCTGTAATACTTGAGGGTTTCAGGGTAGCAAATGTGTCGTATTTATGAAGACTTCCAGGGAAACTCTGAGGAATTATACATCAGAATATCCAATCTATATACTGACCAACCTAGCAGAAACTAGAATATATCAAGAGGAAACAGACRTGTAATAAATGTCTATACGTTACAGATACAGAGGGAGCAGTAAACAAAGCTTCTGTAAAGGCAAGATGTGCCTTATGGGCCTCATAGTGTCCTTTAAAAGGTGTGTGCAGAGGGAACAAAAAAAGTGAATCAGGAAACATCATTTGACGGTATGCTTGGCTTCCCAAAAGGCTTTTGAAGAAGTTCTTATGAAAGGCTTTTATGGAAATTAAACATTTCCTTGGTCCTTGCATTAATAAATAATTGATTAGTAGATGGAGTTAACCTGTGGAGTCCCACAGGGATGAGTGTCAAGATTGCTCTTATCTAATACATTCCTTTAAGAAAAAAAAGGTGGGGGAAAGAAAAACTCTCTGATAAGGCATGAATAGTGAGATGGCAGTGTTTGATGACAGGAGGTTATTCCGAGTAGGAGAGCTGAGAGTGACCTGTGACATTGCAGAATAACTTGAGATGATTGAGTAACTGGGTAATGTAATGGCAAAAGAAATTATATGATTTTAAATATAATATCCACTGAAAAGGGCTGAAAGGAAATGGTCCTTACTTCGTATGTGGAAGTCTGATACGTGCGTAGAAGCAGCACTGAAGGAAGACATAAATCCTCATAGTCATAGATGCTACTCTTTATTTCTGTACTCTTCACTGACTTTCTGCTGTTGACATTAGCTAGATCTCAACAGGTCTCATGCAGGATAAAATGTCCTTGGATTTGACTTGGAAAGGACAGTGTAATGTTCTTCCTGCTGATGGCAGTAACACAGCTATGGCATTCCGTCTTGTTACTATTTCCTGCCCAATAATTCTTGGGAAAAAAAAAAAAATGTTTCTTTAACCCTTGTGAACTACATTAGTTTGTCATTCAGGTCAGTGTGAATTTCTTCCAGATCAGTTCTCTGGGTAGTACTTGGGAAAATGACTACTCTTCAGGTTCAGCAGCATCTTGTCCTTTCAACTATTTCTGTTTTTTAATTTTTTTTCTTCCAACACAAAGATAATTTTGAATTTTTAGGTTTGTTAACTTTGCTTAGTGCAGTGTGTATCAATAGGATCACCGGAGAAATACCCGCTAGTCAAGGGTTAGGCCTAATATCATTTYGGGAACTTCTTCAACTTTTAGAGGAGAGCTTCCCGTGAAAGCAATCAAGGTTCTTTACTGGAGAAGCCTCTGTCTACCACAAGTCCATGGTATACTAATACTTCTTAAAAATGAGACCCAATCAATTCACTATGTCCAGCAAATAGCATTGTRTCTCAAACATTTTAATTTACGAAATTATTGTCATATTTAAATGTTTGGGTAAGTAATTAAGATTCTTTGCAATCCAAAGAAGGGCCTAAAAGATGGCTTTTGTATCATAAGTGAATGTTTGGTGTGTTAATTTTAAATATGCAAGTGACAAAGTTATGATCCGTTGACTCCCCACGGGATGGAAAGATAATATATAATTCTGTCAGAACAGGATGTGTAAATGAGATCATTTAAACTTCAAGGGTGCTCTGGCACTTTGATATGGGTTTTCACACAATACCAAGAGAAATTTAACTAAGATAATTCTTAAAGATGGGAAGCAAATTAGCTTCCCATTCTGATCGGAACTACCAAGTGCATCTGGAGTTTTGGACTGAGAGTGAAACATTAGAGTAGTGTGGGAGGGAAAATAATAATCACAGCACAAACCTCACCCATCAGGAAAGATTCCGGTTTCCGTTTGGGATTTAAAGAAACTCATGACTGCAAGGGAAGCTGGTTTAGCTTGGTTATTCACTAAAGCTGATGCCCTAAAAAGGGCTGATCTTACTCATCGTGAAACTGCCGAGTTGCTAGCTCCAAGGCAGTGAAAGGGTGGGAGGGCTCAGGGGTGCAGAGGAACCRCTCGGGTGCTGGCATCCTGGAGCTGGACTAGATCAAATGTCAAAAGAATTGGCACCTSTGGGAACCATCCTGGAGGAAAAAGCTGCTTTACAGGGAAATCCTGACTTCAAACTAGAAGGTTGATGGCTCTGCATTGAATTTTCATCGGGTTACAATTATATCAGACTCCAAAGTGGTGTCTGTTTTTATTGCTTTTTTTGTGTGTTTTTTTTGACAGCTACTTATTGCATATAAAAAAGTACTGTATCTCACCCGTCATAAATGGTGTAATTTTGAGTATGCATTTATCTGATCTGATTGCATTAAATAGCAAGCACAGAAGTAAATGCTAAAGCATACTGAAGCTGAAACACTTCATAACTTTCTAAAGAAAAGAATGTGACATTTCACATTGAAAAATGAAAATTAGGAGCATCTTTTTTTATATGTCTGTTTACTGCATGTTATTTGAGTTATAGACTAATAGGGCTGTAACCTTTTCATTTATTTTTTGACTCTTTGAATAAAAAGCTAATTCTTATGTCAAATTCTTTTCTTATAGCTGTGAATGGAGATAACTATCCACTCTACCAGAAGTGGAAAGAGTAACCTGCAGAAAATAGACTATGACAGCTTGATTATTGATTTGAGGAGGTGAGAGGGGGAGATGAAAATAATGAAGGTTAGTTTACTGTTCTCCATGTCCTTTGTAGATCTGTGACAAAACAGGTTTAACACACAAAGAATAGGAAAATCTGGTAGAGAGCTTCATTATTAGTGTGATATGATTTGATCCTACAGTTGCATTCACAAGACACCTGAGCCATGACACTAATGATTACATTCTATGCCCATTAATGCTAATGAGKCTATTAATGACTCTCCTTTCCCACTGATCATTGCTCTGAAAAAAATAAAGGAAAAAAATGTGTTTTTTGATATAAGACTGTTTTAGAATGAAATTGCATGCGAAATGTGATAATGCATTCTTTCCTTACCACTTTTACAATATGTATTTRTCAAAAGCTAATCTTAGTGCCCTTATGTATTCTGTAATAAGACTTACTTTAAAAAGAATAGTTACATATGAAATGTGTTAATGCATTTTTATTTTTTATCTGCCATATGCCTCATCAATGCCCTTACACTCTGTTACCTGTTTATATGTTTCGAGTGTTTGGAATTGTTGGGGTGTCTTTTGTATTTTGGGGATTTTTTTTTTTTTTTTTTTCCTGAGATCAGGTACAAACCTATCCTTACTCAGTGGAGGGAAAAAAAAACAGAAAAAAAATCCAAATAAGTCTAAATTATATTTTTCTCTGTGAACTCTATGTGGCAAATAGAGAGAAAACTGACAGTGTGCCTCAGAAAAGGCCAAAAACTGCATATATTTCCAGATAAAATGTCTATCACATTCAACTCAGGTGGTCATTTAAGATGAAGAGGGAAGATGCATCAGCGTAGCAGTGTGAGGAAGCCCACCTGCAGTTAGTGTGTCTGTACTGCGCTGATTGAGACGCTAGGGAACCGAAAGTCATTCAGACACAGCGCTGAGATTCATCAATTAAATATAAACCGTACAAACCAATGCAATGAAAACAAAGCATTATGTGTCTAGTTTCGGATTTTGCTSTGTGTTTTCTCCATGATTGTTCATCATCTTTGCCGAGAAGAATAAACATTTGTGACTGGGAAAATTTGGAACTAGAATAACATTTCCTAAGTCACTTAAAGGAACTGCTGGAATTCATGCCTTTGCCTGTCAGTAGCACAGCACACTTCAGAAATGTCTGAGCATTTTTCCTTCTTGTTTTTTCTTTTTCTTTCCCCTTTTTTTAATGTAATCGTTATGTATGGATAATSAAAAAAAAAGCTGATATGAATCTGGATATGAGTGTTAAGCATTTTGAGATGATCACTTTGCAAAAATGATGTTTTAGAAAGTGTATTTCATGATATAAAACCATGTAATTCTTCTATCTATAAAATAAATGGAGGTTCTTTTTAAATTCTCTTGCTGGTTTTCCTATCCTGGCAGTAATTTTATTAGTTTGTAACACATTGCTCCCAGGATAGCACCAGATGGATTTGAATATACGATGGCTTTTTAACAATAGTCTGTCATCAATGACTGCTCCTCTAAGTGCTCTTTCCTTCATTCAAAAGTTAAATGGACTCTTAAAGCATGAGAAGGAATAAATATGCAACTACATTATATGAGCATTATTAAGACAGAACATGCTAACAATTACGCAAATTACAATAAATCATCAGTACAGTTGTTTGCTTAAATCTAAGAGGACAAAGAGATTTGTTTTTAATGCACTGTGGACATCTGTCCACACAATAGCATATTTCTTTACCACATTTCTGTCATAGGGAATTTTTTGGTGTCACATTTAGGAAGAGAATGAATAGTCACAGTAGTTGTTTTACTATGCATTAAATGATCTGTCATATATGAAAGCTGGTAATTTATCTCCTTGAACCAATGAATTGCTTGGCACTCTGCACAGATGTGTGTGCAGAATAAGGTATCTTCATTTACCAAACTGAATCTCCCATTAGAAGAAGTCTTTTGCAAAAATAGAAATGAAAATGAACTTCTAGGCTCCAGTAGGGATAATATGGCTAATATAATTTAAGAAAAAGAGCTATAGAAGTACCTGCTGATTTATTTGAAGAAGCTTTTGGAGCCAAAGCCCAGAAAAATCACTTGTTTAAATATATGTTTGAGATGCAACAAATACAAYGCATTTTGAAGATACTAAAGTTTCACTGAAAACCTGTTAGTTGAACATCTTGTTTCCCTCCTCTTATTTTCCTGCCAACAAAAATAGTAATATTTCTGCCTACACATGCAATGCTAAACAGTTTATCAAAATGCAAGGAGCAGGTGCGGTACCTGGTGGCATCATTTTTCAGGAGAAATAAATTGTACTCTAAAATGATGAAACTTGTCCCATCAGACCCCACTATCTAATATCTAAGACTGCCTTCATTTCCACAGGATGTATTGCCTCCTGTTAAAGAATCCTCGTAGTTAAAGAAACCTACGGAGATGCTGGGAATATTTTTAGGTTACAATTTTACTGCAATGGCTGTAAGGATTGGGATAGAATGAGAGGCTCTTCTTTACAGAGAAATAAACTAACCTCCTCATTATCTAAAAATATGCTTCTTCCCAATCTGTACCTTTACGGCACTATAGAGATATACAAAATCCTTCTTTGCTGTTTCTTTGGTGTGCTGCAGAGGCAGGTCTGCTATGGATGTGCACCTCAGGTCAGGAGATGTGCTACAGACTTTGATGAGCATCATTTTCCCAACCCAGCATCTTCCTTTCATGTAAAGGTCAGTCAAACTGGTCTATGTGGATTATAGAGAGCTGTCTTGATGAGTTTGGTTTGGGCTGTATTTTCAAAATCTCCTCCTCCTGCTCTATAACCAAATAGTGTTCTTTGTTGTTCCTTTTCACTGTAGGTGCACGTTGGTTGTATTTTAAAATAAAGAGACAAACCCAGTCTATTGCAGGAAATCTTTTGTTGTTTGAACTATTAGGTTAAAACTGAAACTAATCTCTTAATCCTCAAGATCTCTCCTCAGAGTCTTCTCTCAAAATCAATATTTGGAAAAATGAACAAAAACCACCCCCAAGCACACTGCAGTGTGGAYTGGCATTGGGAAATTTGCCATGGTCATCTGGATGTAACCTAGGGAATGAAATCTATATATGTTTTCTTATTATATCCTGTAATATAAAGATGCTATCAAACTTTGTAGCTATCTGCCTTTGATTCAGTTTAGCAGGACATCTGTGCAATATTTATTTTAAAGGAAATTTATTTTCAGGTGGCAGGGGACCAGATGATGTTTGTAAATTTTGCATCCTAAAGAAAGGTGGGCAGTGTACTGAGAGTATGTCAGTGGGGAAAACCTGTATCTTAACATAACTGCTGAAAGTGTATTTTCAAAGTAAGTTATGCTGAACTGAAGCCCACGCTCAATCCAAAACCTGTCTTGTATCCAGCAGCACCAAAAGACCAAGCAAAGATTAAGTCTTAAGGCAAAAGCTCCTTCTGCTTCTCCAAGGCCAGCACAAGGCCTTTGGGCAGGGGAATCAGTGTGGAGTCTTACCTACGAGGGTCCTGGCCTTTCCAACAGAAATGTACAACACCGAGAGTAGTTTTGACTGGATCAGACGCTTGGAGGTCTGGGTGTCATCTGCTTCTTCAGATCAAGGTACTCCTGTTTCCCTAAAAACCTTTCCAAATAGCTAGATCGAGGATAAAGTAAAATAGTACAGGATGTTGTGTGTTTTGTTTGGGTACCTGTTCACTCCTTGTTCTTTGTTGGCCACAGAAACAAAATGTGTGAATTTTTCTATGTTATATGTATAATGGAGAGGTGGAACCTTARAGCGGTTTGTGCTTTTAACCAGACTATAAATTGGTTTATATTCCTGAAAGACGATTTGCCAAGTGGCCAAGTGCATTTTTTGCCTGGTACTACTTCTGCTACAAACGTGGACCTAGGAGTGTCTCCTTGCTCTGTGAAGAGAATAAATTCCTGGCTAAGGAGAGGACCCATCTGGGTACTAGGCAGAGAGGACTTGTGGTGTGTTCTTTATTGTCCTTTGACTTTGCAGTCTCTGAGTTGTGTAGTACTTTGTGTCAGTTTTGAAATTCATCCAGCAGACACACATCAAATGTCRTAAGAAAAAGGAGACTTGACTAGGAATACATTTTGATCTGATTTATATCAGGGTGCTTGAAGAATTATGAGAGGAGTTTAAAGTGGCTTGATGTAAATCTCGATGGAAAAGTATTGACAGATGGACTTGATTTTCAGTTGGGGGTTTTTTAATCACTGAATTTGACTTCCATTGCACTGTTGCCTTTGATCTAAGGTATTCAGCATTGAATTTCTCAGAATATGTCATTTAAACTTTAAAATAGTAAGACTGCCAAGTCTGAAAGAATCTTTTTGTGGAGTATCTTAAATTTTACTTTTTTTATGAGAATTACTTACATGGAAGTGACAGATAATAAATGACTTATACTGTATTTTTATTAGGTTTTAAACAGTTGAAATATATTGCTAGCTTAAGAAAGGGTCCCTTAGCTAAAGGATGAGCAGGTTCATTTGCTCTGCTGGGAGTGCACTGCGCTATCACACTTGGGAGAGCTGGGAAGTGACCTTGGGATTCTCACTCCATTCTCCAGTGAGAGCGAGTTCTGGAAAGGCTGTCCTTCGCTCAATAGGGTTTGCATCAGACTTATGGACAGATTAATGAAAAGTAAGTAGTCCTGGTGTCAAGTCCTGGCTTTTGGGTGTATGAATATAGATCAGTGGGAGTCTTCTGGTAGTGGCAGAAAAATGATATCCAACTATTTTTAATGCTGTCATGCCCCTCAAATAGCCAGCTCTAGGCAAGGCCATAGGCCTTGCTGTCATCTAAATGCATCTCTTCTATTTTGCATGATGGATATTTAGGTGCTTGGAGGTTTCTGGTTGACGGATGTCAAAAAATCATGTAATTCCACAAAGTGAGTTGGTCAGAAGAGCAAAACTGTTTAGCTGTTAGTATTTCCAGTTCTTAGGAATGTGGGATC